ATGTGGTGATTCCAGGAGAGGGGAGTAGATGGGGAGTGAGGTAGTGATGTCTCTGGACCCCCAGGCAGCTGTTTGGAAAGGCCTGCCAGCACACACAAGTATGGGGAGAAAAGGCTGCTTGGGATGATGTCTCCTGGGGACTGGGAGCACACTGGGAAGCAAAAGGAATGGCAGATAATGTCACAAGGCTTTTGCTAGTGTCTTTTTTGTGTTGTCCATTCTCTGTTGGCCTCTCTCCCCCTTCTTACTCCTCCCTACACCTTTCCACTGCCCCAACTCACCTAAACCCTCCTCCTTCGTCCCCCTCTCTGCTCTTCTCCTGCCTCTTGGTTTCCTTTCTTATTTTGTTTCTTTTTTCCCTCTTGCATTCCTCCTCAAGCCTTTAAGTTTGCCATCTCCTGTGCCCTCACCGCCTTCTCTCTCTCTCTCCTCTTTCTCTCAGTCTTTCTGCCTCTGTGTCAATCTCTGTCATTTGCTCTAAATATGTAAGTCTCTCTCCTAGTCTTGTTCTTGGTTTATCCTTTAATTCCTTGTCTTATTTAGAATCAGATGGGGGTTTGCAGTCCCTGTGTAATGGCACATTCATAACCGGTGAGGAGGTGGGGATGCTCATTTGCCACATGACTGCCTTTTCCCAAGAAAGCTTCTTGGGGGTGTTTGTCTGGAGGTTTGCACATGTTTCATTTTTTATCCTTTGTTAATGTCAAATGGATTTTAGGAATCCTGTGAGCTCAGGAGGCGTGCAGTATGACAGGCCTGGATTGGCACCCTCACCGCTGAGGTTCTTTGGAAGGGGGCGGTGTCACTGGGAATGACTGCCTAGGCTAAGTGGGTCAGGAAGGCAAACAGAAAGCAAGAGTCTGCCGTAGCAATTCCAAAATAAGAATGGCTGCACCCTCATGGCCAGGCTTTCTTCTTCATCCTTGGAAATAGCATCAGGTTATATGGGAGATTCAAGAAGTTTGCTTCAGAAAATGATAAAATGTCCATGTTGTGTCTCAACAAGTATAACATAATGCCCTGCCCATGGCAGGTGTCCAGTAAATATGAGGTTAAGTGAACGTAACACTAGAGGGCAGCTTTGAAAACCTGCTTTAACTTCTCATGTGTGTGCTGTGGATGCCACTTTATCTGCGGTCCTAAGCTTGCACTTGTGCACAGAAAGCATTTGATTAAGTGGAGCCTCCCTTAGTGTCTTGTCATTATGCCTTTGGCCATCCATGGGGTGTTTTTAGGACACCTGAGCATTCCAAGCGGCCACCTGCATCATGTTGGTGGCCAGGGTCAGGTTTGGAAAGCTGTTCCTGCCATCAGCACTCCTGGGAAGAGTTGGAAGAGAAATGGGCATGCCACTGATGTTTGTTTCCCTGCCTGCAGTTGGCTCATCCACTTGGAGTATCTTTCTCCCTGATGCTGTGTTTCAATTTTCTTTTTATTGTAAGTTCGGGACCTTCTGGTCACAAGTCATACGTGTGTGTGGAGGTTCATCCTGATCTGGATGGGGAAAATTACCACAGCTCTGCAGCTTCTCTTCTTGGGACAACTAAGATGTGTAGTGAAGAATGAGCACCCAGCCTTTATTTCTAAGATTAAAAGGGATAGGGCTTTTTCCCCCCTTCATCTTTTGAATTTTAAATTAGATCTTTTACTCCACCTGCTTGTTAGAGATTATTGGTTTCTTCCACATTACTCCAGCATTTTAAGGGGATTAAACCAAGGTTTCTCTTTTGTCCCCTACTCATAAGCAATTGTTTGGTTTTGGGAATTAAACCTAGAGCATCTCAACTACCTTACCATAACCTCTCCCAGGATGGATCTGAGACTCCCCAAGGCAGGTTGGTGTGCATCCTTCAGAGCCTATCTTTATTTTTATGTAGTGATGCTAAATAGGAGAAATGAAAAAGGGGAGAAAGAGAAAAATGACTCAGAAGTGAGACTCAGGCAGAATCATAAATACACTTTCAAGGAATTAAAATACCAAAGACAGAGCAGTTCTACTTTGTTTAATTGGCATTTCACATTTCTTCTTGGAGCTCATGATCAGAGCATTCCTTACATCTATGTCAAAGGAAACTATGGGATGTAAATAATTTTATTTCTTAACAAACCAAATAACCCCATGTCCTCTGGCATGGGTACATTGTTCCAGAATAAAACCCTAAAAAACTTACATCTGAATACTCTCATAAATTAATAAACTAACTTTGCCCCAGTGCTTCAGTTTTGCTCCTACGCCTGGTAAGAAGGAACAAGGCATTCTTTTTCTTTTTTCTTTTTTAAAATATATTAGTTGTAGATAGACACAATATCTTTATTTTATTTATCTTTATATGGTGCTGAGGATTGAACCCAGGGCCTCACTCATGCTAGGCAAGCTCTCAAGAGCTGAGCTACAACCCCAGCCCAAGGCATTCTTTAGTCTTAATATCCTGGCCATGGACTGACTGGTGGACTGCTGCTGTTGACTTCTGAAGCCCTGGTTGAGACTAAAAAGGAGAATGGTGGTTTTCGGATGCTTAACACAGCAGTGGCTGTTGACTATAAATGTTCTCCCTGGAATTCCTTATTCTTGTGGTCTCTCTTCTCTTCTTATCATATAATTTCAATGACATTAATGTTCTCAATAGAAATGTCTAAGTATAATTCTAAGAGATAACTATTTTTAAATGGTGTGTGGACTCTAATTCTCTTTTGGTCACACAGATGGTTTTGAAAATTCAGTGATGAGGAAATATTAATAATCTATTTTTCTTTTCTGTGTGCTAATATCTTTATTCTAAAAGATTATACAGTTTAATAGATCTCTTTAGAGTTTGACTATAATAGGTACATTCTGTAGAAGATATTAAAGTTTGCTTAAAATTGCTTATTATAATAGAATTTTAAAAATCTTAAGTTCCTGGCAATGCAAAAGTGAGTAGGTAAGCAAAGCACAACTTCATGGGTCCCTAATGGTTCACAATCTATTGTCTTTTATTGCTTAGAGAAAGAGCTGTTTGCAATGCACCACTGCTCCCTGAAGTAGGGGGTAGTTAGTAGTTATTAACCAAGGAATCATTTCATCCACAGGTAAGTTTAGGACTAGTCACAGTAGGATTTCTTAAGAATGTTGCTTTTCTCCTTTGGAAGCTTTTTTCCAGCCTGCAATTGAAGAGGTCCTTTGTCAATTCCATCCCTGGACGTGACTTTGTTCTCAAAGGTTTTAAGTTTTCCTTTTAATCTTTTCCAAGTCCCCCACTCCCTCGTCACTAATGGTGTATCTTGTTGTCTGCCACTAAAATTTAAGAATATCTAATAAATTAAGGATGGTTCTGCATTGCCTCTTATCTGACTAGCATCTGTGGGTGTCAGCTGCCAAGTAGCTCGGGTGTCTGTGCCGCTCCTGAATCCCCACAAGCTGACACACTCCCTTCTGAGAAAAGGTACCTTCAAATATGCATGCAATTTTCAATATAAATTTTGTATGTTTGAACACTGCCTGTAAGAGAATCGCTCGACCTAATAAAAATGACTTGACTGGGACTTTTTAAAAGCTGGATATAAATACCACTAGAGATTGTATAGCCAGCATAAATACTTCACTCTGAGCTTTGCTGAGCATTCTCAGAATGCTTCTGGCCACATTTGTGAGTCTCATGAAATCTGAGCTTGTGCCAGAGGAAGGGCAAGGGCTAGTCAAACAGGGTCATCGGCCCTCCCTGGAAAGCCATAAAGTGAGGGCTAACCTACCGAGGTTCAATGGTAGCAGAAGAAGGCTTTTGTTCTTTCAACTCTTATCTAATCAGCCACCCTCATTTTGATGCTATGATTACATACCTCACCTAAAAATCGACATGTCTTGAGTTCTGAGATATCTTGTGAGGACTGTCATGTTCAAACAGAACCCATATTGTGTTCTCCAGAGAGACAGTGTGTCTATAGACAAAAAGACAACAGAAATCAAAGCATTGCCAGTCTTTTATATTTTAATTGAATTGTTTATTCTCCTAATACTGCACAGGTACTTTATAAATCGTCAAGATGACATTCAAATAGAGTGAAGTATTTATTTATTTTGTTGCTTTAAAGCTGTTCATAGTAGAAAGAGGCTAGTCTGTCATTGTGGTGATGGTGTTGGTGGCTGTGATAATGGCAGCAGCGATGGTGGTGGTGGCAAAGGTGGAGTCAGTGAATGTTGAACCTTCCATGTCAAAATGTCAAAATGCTGAAGCCCTCCTTTAAGACCAAGAGATGGCCCTCCCCTTATTCACATTCCTTTTCATTTTGTACAACACTGAAGCTCATAAAGAGGAAAAAAAATGCAACACACCGTTTTTCTTAATAGAATTTTACATTTGCTGTTTTATTCCACAGCTTTTAATTTGATAATGAGATCTTGATGCCAGGCTTCATAGATGTGACTTGCTGTCATTAATTGATTAGATCCTGCTGTATCCATCTCTTTGCTTTACCTTCCTACTTGTCTGATAGACCATAAAGTAGAATAATTGACCAAGGAGTCGTTGAGGTAAGGGAGGGTGTTTCTAATTGATGTGGATGCTAACTTTACAGTGCTGGTGTGAGGTCTGTTGCATTACCATTTTCCAAGATTTCCTCCAAGATATCTGTTGGTTAGGTTTTTTTGTTTTGTTTTGTTTTCCTCTCTACCCACTTCTGCATCTCCAACCTGCAGAACATTAGCTTAGTAAACAGAAGAACAAATATGATCCCTCACCTTTTCCTGATCTTCTGTACTTTTGAGTTAAAATCCTTTGCTGTTACCATTGCATCTTTCCCACGATATGCAGATATCTACTCGGGCTGCTATAAATCATTCAGAATTAGAAGTTGTGCTCTGCATCTGACCCAGTAGCTCACATACGCCCACGGCCACCACAGCTGGCAAACAGTGGTGGTTTATTTCAGGGCTGGTATAAGAGGCTGTATCCAACGGCTGTGAATGTTAGCTCAGGGCTGAGATTCTCATGTAATGTGGCCTCAACTCTTGTCTCCTTGTCCAGACTGCTCCCTGGAAGCTCAGCCCAAATATGTTAGAGGTGGGAAGCGTTATGGACGAAGGTCCTTGCCTGAGTTTCAAGAATCTGTGGAGGAGTTTGCAGAGGTGACAGTAATTGAGCCACTAGATGAAGAAGCGCGACCTTCACACATCCCAGCTGGTGACTGCAATGAGGTAAGTAGTTGGAATAGCACATCTAGGATATGCTCCTCAGCATGGCATGGAGCTGGGAAAAGTAAGGGCACTTAAGACTGAATGCAGGCTTTTCTGAATTACCAACTTCTTATTAATCTTATTACTTGTCTTTTGGACATAGAGATTAATCTTTCTGTTTGAATATTTTCTCCTTGGTTTCAGCTTTCAGAGTGAGTGCAGACATTCTGTACATTTTTATGCTTTTATGTTTAGATTTCAGTTATGTTTATATTGTCAGGGGTCTTCTACTTCTAGCTCTTCCTGGGAATATATCTTATCCCAATGGTGCAGCTATTTTTTTATTTTTTTAGTAACTTAAAGATCTAGCAAAATCTTTCCCTTCCACCCACTCCAAACTATAAAACAGCATTCTGTTATAGGTAGAAAATGAAAGCTAAATTTTCAGGCAGTTTGAGAGCCTGCATCTTATCTTTTGTGATGTACTAAAGCAGCTCTAGTACTCCATTCTTGCCTCAGGATATCAAGCAGGGGCACTTTCCCTCTGCTCAGCAGTTGCCACTGTTCTTCCTACTGGTTCTGACACACCCAGGTCTGTCGCCCTCTGCAGCACTTCTCCCTCCCTTAGCTCCCTTCTGTTTACTTTGCATATTGCCATAATCTACCAATAAACAGTAACATTTTCTTTATTCTTTCTTTATGGCTCATTTACCAGCATCCCACTTACAGAATATGATTGAAAAATGCCATGCTGAGCAAGCTCTAAATATTTCTTGCAAATCCCAGCTCAGATTGGGGCTGCAGATATTTCAGATACTAATATAAACTGGGAAAGAGACAGCACCTCAGCTTCCTGAAAGTGGTCTATAGATTGCCGGCTGATTGTGTGTGTGTTCATGGCTGTCTAACACCCATGTTGAGCTTACTAAAATCTACAGGAAACATGCTCCCAATATGTCCCCAGCAATCAAACATCTGGTATGCTCAATGTTCCAGAATATGCACAAACCCAGAGTTAACTAGAAACCCAAGTATTGAGCAGAAATGAAACTGGCAATAAATTCTGAAGTTTACAAGAACACACAAGCAGTCTGCCAAACAGAAGAAGTTTGCATCATTTTTTAAAACAAAAGCCATTTGTCCTCACTCCAGAAGTGACAGAATTGTGAGTGGGAAGAGAAGAAAATCAAGTAGGAAAGGGGGGTGTGGTGAGACATGAAAGCTGAAAACAAGGAGAAGGGACACTTCCTGGGATATCATGGTCCCCTGGGTGGGTCAGTTGGGCAGGGGCTGCTTCCCATCTCAGGTACAGTTTTAGTGGTCTTCCCCTATCTCAGGTCCCTTTGAAAATCCAGATAGGGACCTTTCTCAGGAAAACACACATACTCACACGCACAAAACTTCACATATACAATTTTAGAGAGGCAAGTAATTTGCATACTTCAAGGAGTGCAGTGTTCATAACACTGTGTTTGTCTTGTATCAGGGAGGATATCATTTTATTACATAAAGTCCGTTTCATAACTCTGGGTAGTATGAAATAAATGAGATGCTTCTTGGGGTGGGGGGGGGGATGTTTAAAATGTTTCCAACACTTTAGTGGATATGTTTTATTTGGAAGCTACTTTTAAGTCTAATTTCCCAGTTCTCCAACTGTTTTCAAGAGATTATTATTTGGTGTTAAGAGATTAAGTGGTTACTTATTTTTTGATATGATATCCAATAAGTTCTTGGGCAAATCTGACCATTGCTGGTACTGCATTTCTTATATCCTTGTTATCTTATCTACTGGACTCTTAGTGAGATTTACTTAAAAAGTGAAAGTTTGGTTTCATGTATAAACAAAAAGAAGAGCCGAAGTTTAAGCCTGGGTACAATCTTTCTGCTTGTAAAGGATATATTGGGAGAGTCATTCCAGCCCCAACATCCTATAGCTTCCCTTTATCCTCCAGAAACCTCTTGGGTGTGACCTCTTGTGCTATATACAGAATCTGCAGTTTTCTCCATGTTCCTTCAGTAGAACTGCAGATAGAGGCCTGGAGAGGGTCATTTCTCTGGATTTCTGCTCTCAGCAATCCTGCTTTGATAGCGTGTTCAACCATTCTTGTCCTGTTCCCCACCCCACCTTTTTTTTTATTGCTAAAGGTGTGTTCAAACCAAAGCTCAACCACCTATTTCTTGCCTAAAAATCAAGTGTTTTATAAGTGGATCCTGTCATTTTTCAAAACAATTCATCTCTTTAAAAAAATGAATAGCTTCTCATGTAGCATTTTCAACATTCCCTTTGGCAGTCGAAAGGGCAAATCCCAGCCCTGTGCAGCAACCCTGGATGCAGATCACACTCATGCCATTGCTGATACACAACGCCTCACACTGTCCTTTTGTCAGTGTGTCAGTCCTGTTGCACGCCCTGTGTGAATGTGCAACCTCCTCCTGGCCGGTTACTGCATTAGCCTCAGCAATCGAGAGCCACTCAGTCAGCCAACAGAAGTTCACATGTTGGGAGGCACAGGCCCACTCTGAAAACCTGCCCTTCTACAGAAGCTGTCTAGGACAGCTTCCCCATTCTAGAGTGGCTTCCACTGGGGACTGTGGGGTGGAAGCAATTCTGAGTGACCTGTGGAGTTCATTTACTCTCACAAGGAGTCTGAACCTGTCAGGAGTTCTTCATTGTACAGTTGGCTTCTTTTTTCCTCCCATTTTGGTTGCCTGAGTCCCTCTTGTCTTCTGTCTGTGGAGGTACTAAGAATTTGTTCTTTGGGCTCAGACTTATGTCAGTGCTACCAGGCAATAATGAAGGAGGGTGTGGGCCTCGTTCTCCCAGATATAAATATTTTATAAGGAATAACCAGATGGGCAGCTAGAGACAGTTGTCTTAATTAAGTCCTGGGTTTCCTTTGATTCCTGGGCCCTGGCTTAGGTGAAGGTAAAATTCTTGGCTTGCCTTAGGCCTACAGTATCTGGAAGGAATTCCAGAGTTTCTGGATGAAGACAGTTCCAAAACCTGAACCTATTGTCAGAAATTAAAAGAGGGGAGGTCTATGCAATGAGAGACTAATTTAGAGGGAAGGGGGGTACTGGGGTTGAACTCAGGGGCACTCGACCACTGAGCCACATTCCCAGCTCTGTTTTGTATTTTATTTAGAGACAGGGTCTCATTGAGTTGCTTAGTGCCTTGCTTTTGCTGAGGCTGGCTTTGAACTCTTGATTCTCCTGCCTCAGCCTCCCAAACCACTGGGATTACAGGTGTGCATCACCACATCCAGCAACAAGAAACTAATTTTAGTCCATGTTGAATTTAATACTAGTTTTATTTACCTGAGGACTTGCAGAGGGTGGGCAGTAGGATGAAGCAGTGTTACAGCTGTCAAAAGCTGTCCCCATGTGGCTTGATTCCTGTTAGGAACTCATCCCATCAAAGTAAGTGAGCAATCATCTGAAAAGCAACACCTCCTCCTCCTTGCCCTCCAGGGCTAGTAAGGGAGGTTGCTATCAGTGACAGGAATTCGTTCCTGGGCTCCTGGATTAGTGATTCCCAGTGTTTTTCTGAATCCTTATTTGACAGACATTTTCCCACAAGAAAAACAAAATCAGTAATTCTTAGCAGTCATAATTCTCTGCAGTCTACCTATAACTCCACCCTTTCTCTCCCACTCAGGAAAACATATAGAAATGCAGATGAGCATGAGAGAGGCTATTATGGAGATTGCTTTGAAGCAACTATATTTATATTTAATGTAAGTCCCATGTGAAGCTTCAGGCTTCATTAGCTGCAAGCAACTCGGAGCTCATCTGGTGACTGTTCACCGTGCACCATTGTGATGTGCTGCTATGGGTGAGAACCCACATTGTTACTGTGGAGTAGCTCCCTCCCTGCACAGAGCATATGAAAACAAACCTTGTTACAAGGTGTTTTTGATCATGTTTGACTTTTGTTTCAGTATATCTATGTTAAAGCATTGACATAAAATGTAAACATTTTAATAGTCTCCATCCTGCCTCCTCTCCCTCCCCCAGTGCTTTTATCAGGCAATTTGATTCTTTCCTGCTGAAACTGAGACTATCTAACCTAGCTATTAAGCATGTCTCCCCTACCAAGTTTAGTTTACAAGGCAATAAAGCCCTCTGTAGGGAAAAGACTGTTGTAATCTAGCTAAATTTTCAACACTGAAGTGTGGTGTTTCAGAATTTCATTTGGAAACCCTGAAGCAGAATGCACTAATTCACAAGTGACAGGTAGGTCCCACTGGCAGGCTGCAACATGCATTTGCCTTCCAATTTAGTGTGTTTATGTGGCAAATGGATCCCTTGGGCATCTGACCTCTCTTCTGGGTAGTATTGAAAGAAAAGTGGTGATTTTTCTTTTTTCGTGACGTCATTTTCACCCAAGTCAATTCAACAGGACAATCTACTTTGAATTAACCCAACAAACAAAGGACACATTCTCGATTCCAAACTGAGGTGCGATTAATGAGAAGGTTTTGATAATCGCTGTTTGTGCTTTACTTCATTAAGAAACAGAAGTGAGATTTTTTTTTTTTTTTTTTTAAGGTTTGGAAATGAACATTTTTTCTCCTTTTGTATGCAGGAGCTACTGAACTGACCTTGAATTTTATGCTCATGTTTCTTTTGAGGTAGATGGAAAGAAGGAAAAGAGAAAATGAATTCTCAATTATTCTATTCTGTATTCTTCAGACTTGGTAGGAAAGATTGTGCAATTAATACAATTGGGGCAGGGCCACTTTGCTTTCTGTCCTGGTTGAAAACAGGGGACACCTTGTTAACTGTTTTCCTCCACAGGGAATAGATCAGGTCTAATAAGATTCTTATCAAGAACAAGGGGCCATAAACAATGATTTCTTCAACTGTAGACAATAGTAGTGTAAGCTAAAACTGTTGGCTCACACACTGCAACTTAAGCAAGAATCTGGGAGAAAAAGTTAAAGCTGATTTCCACATTCGCCCAAGGATGGACAAGTGGATTCAGGTGTTGTGTTGGGACAAGGGTGAGAGGATAGGGG